TACTATTGACGTATGGAATAGTCTTTGAAATTCGAATCAATGTATATGAGCAAGACGCTATCCCAACTGTCTATATATAGTGATAGAACAGAGATTCAAGAAAATTCTAGAATTTTCTAGGAGGCCGGAGACTTTTGTGGAGTACTGTATATATATTGTCGAAAACAAGTGAAAAAGAACTCAAAATTGCTTCATGATGTTAGTTTATTAGTTACTCTATGTTTTCATTGGTATTGCTATTATTATTCGGAGTGAAAATGATTTCCATGTTAACGGTCCTCTTGGAAAATGTCATTCAATTGTAATAGAAGTATTAACATAGTTTCTAATTCTATTTGTTCAATATTTAAAAAAATAATTGATTCAAAAGTTTCATCAACATATTATTCTAATGGTGATGACATTTATGTTTCTTGGACACCATTATCAAATCCATACAAAGACGATTTTATTTAAGTTTATTTTGTCTAAGTTCTAATTGAAACAGAGAAAAAGATCTTATCATTTTTAATAATTAATAATCAATTATAAAATTTCTTTTTAATAAGGTGCTTGTGATTATTTTGATTATAAATTTATAAAATCTGGTCAAGATAATTCAACATAGTTAATGATTAGTTGACGTCGTCAAATAGAATTTCGCTGTTATTCACGTGTCAACACAAAATTTATGTAGCTTTTGGTGATCGAAATGATGAAATATATTTTTCATTTATGTAAATAATTCAAATCAAATGATTTCTCAATGTCAATATGATTTACATTCTTCATCTCTTCATTTTCAAGTTAATGCAACAACACTTACCGGATAAAGCATCGGATATGTGTGAAGGAAAGGCGAATACAACTCATCGACAAACATGTATTAAGCCTGGATATATGCATACAATACTTATCAATGATCTTCGTTCATTGATTATTTATTATTACCGAGTAGGAAATGATGAACATGATTAGTCATTTATATAAAGATTTTTAAATCATCCATCGACTACTAATAATCATATGAGTGTATCACCTATTCAACCAGATACTAAAGGGTGTGGGTGTGGGTATGAGTTGTTACTTCATGAAATTCACACCCACCAACACGCGCCCACACCCACCCACACGCACACCCACACCCCATTCTGCATACTCACCATACTTAGCGCCAACAGACTACCGTTTGTTTAGGTCTTTGAGCAACAGCCTTCGTCATAAAATTTTCGCCGAAGAAGAAGATATTCAAGAATATCTCAGCAACTTTTTCAGCTCAAAACGAAAGGAGTTTTATACTAAAGGCATTCATGCTTTGCCTACGCGTTGGCAAGCAGTAGTAGATAATGAAGGCGATTATATAATTGACTACTATATTATTTATTTATTAAATAAATAAATTTAAAAAAAAATATTCAAGTGTCCAATTTTCATTCCGCCCACCTTATAAAAATCGTTTCGTGGTTATCGTACTAAACTTTTTTAAGGCCAGTAGATTTAATAAGGTTTGACAATTCTCACAAGGAACCATATGAAGGTTTCGTGTGTGACACACGAAACCATTGATAGTTTCGTAAGATATCAACGAGATTATAGTTGGTTTCATAATCTCACTATAAGGTTTCGTCTACTTAATACTAAACTACTCCTAGTTTCGTAGATTTTCCAAAAGTTCAGGACATTTTATACTAAATGCTTGATAGTTTCGAATACTGACTAAAAGTTTGGTGTAAGTCACACGGAACGATTGATAGCTTCGTACTTTATTTTAAGGTTCCGTCAATTTTACATGGATATTTAACAGTTTCGTAGGTTTTCTAAAAGTTCGGTATATTTCATACCGAACATTTGATGGCTGAGGTATGGGTGTGGGTGTGAATGATCAGTAAGACGGAGCACTCAAACTCACACTCACACTCTCCACCCAAATTGAATTTCCTGAAAATCGGAATTTACAATGCCCTCAACGATTCATGACTGAGAATTTTTTCCTTGCACATAGTGTTGATTAGTAGTTTAATTGATGAAGAAGTAATATACTCTATTAATAGAACCAGTTTTAAGTTCGATTCTCGGCAAAAACTTGACCAAAGTTCACTGATAATATTCGCAAGTAGCGAGAGTTTCTCAATGATCTGCCTCTGCATATGTCAATGCTCTATCTTTCTCACTCAAATTTTAGGTACACACATTTACAATTGGACTATTTCTCTTCATTAATTTCTAGATTATTTATTCACTTTTTTGGGAAAAAAATTGTGTACAGCAATGAAAACAAAGAGTAGTCATATGAAAAGTAAAATTTAGTCAAACATAGCAATGCATTCGTCAAGAAATTCATGGTATCCATAGCCTTGTTTGCTGATTGCACGATGAACTCGCTCAATTTGATCCTCGTTCAATTCGCGACCAATTGCTCTTTCACAGGCTCGTATAGCAGCAGCAAATGTTTTATTTTCATCCTGATTGTTGGCTCGGAGGAAAGTTTCGTGCTTAAGTACATCATCATTAGCACCAATATCCCATGTCGATGGGACAGAATCATCATATACGGCCGAAATTGTACCAATTATAAACATCATTATATAAAATGAAATATGTGCCATGATTTATAACGATAATAGCTTTTGCTTTCTAGAACGTCTTGAAAATGACAATAACGAAGAATAGTCATTGCTACTTATGGGCTTTATATAGAAGAAGTAATTAAATTATATTACGAAGATCATTAAATGTTGAGACAATACATAGCTTAATGTATCAGTTTACAATTAACTTTTGCCTGTGCCTAATCTTAAGTTTAATAGCTTTTTTCATCTATCATTGTCATTTGATATTTTGGATATAGGCCTTTTCTCTTTTACTTAATATGAGGAGTAGAAAAAATCTATTAAACTTTGAATATGACAAAGCAATCAGTAATAGGTCAACTGGTTGAAAAATTTTGTCTTAATATCTCACTAGTAAAAGTGTCATCATTAAAAAGAGTGCAAAAAACTGAGTAGTATCCTAAAATATGAGCTCGGGATATAGTGTAGTCGCAAGCAAATTTTTTCAAAATACTAATTCACGAATAATATAAAAGGTGGTCACAAAGTTTCGACCCCTTCTTAGTAAATTAAGAATATCTATATCAAACTTATATGAAAGTATTGATCAAATTTTATCATTTTGTAGAGAAAGAGAAAAGCTATCATCTGAAAAAAAGACAGTTTGAAATATATAGATTTATTATAAAGTTATGATCATTTTACTGAATTTGTGTGAAAAATATTTAAGTTGCTTTTTTTTGCAAAAACAGAAATGTTCTTGTAACACCTGAGCTGAGATAGTTTTCTGGATTTTTTTAAATACAGTTGAATAAAGTTTGTCAATCTCTACAAGAATATGAATATCAACACTTTTGCAGATCCTATTTCTGATACAAAACTTAGAGACAAATAGAAAGACTAGTAAAAAACCTAATATATCGTGTATTAAAGAAAGGGTGCTTCATTTCCAATACCTGTAGTCAATCGATTAGTTAGTCTTCTCGTCAAGCTCCAAAAGAGTACTTTCATCTAGAGTACGTGCGAAAGCATCTCAAAACATAAAATAATAGACAGAACAGTCGATGTACCAAACTTATTAACAGTTACCTATACTCTTCAATACCTGATTTACCAGAGTTTTATCAGTTTGTTTGATTGCTTTCAGAGTTTGTAATCAAAAGAGAACAAAAAGTTTTCTTTTTGGATATCTATATTTTGGTAGAGCTTGTCGAACCCTATCTAATCATATAAATATGTCTATGAAGATATGTAAAAATCTATATCTCAATCGATTTTGATTATTCAAATATTGCAAGAATATTTTTGCTTTTGCAAAAAAAGCAACGTAAATATTTTTCACTTGAAATAAGTAAAATGATCGTAACTTTATAATAAATATATGTATTTCAAACTGTCATTTTTTCAGATGATAGCTCTTCTCTTTCTCTACAAAATGATATAATTTTATCAATACTTTCATGTAAGTTTGATATAGATATGCTTAATTTACTAAGAAGAGGTCGAAACTTGGTGAGCACCCTTTATATATTGTTTCTTGTTTTTCGCTGTCTTTTTTTTTCGTTTTTTTATAGGGAGTAACATAGGAGAGAGAATCGAAAGTGAGAATGTTCAGATGAATCATGACAATGTGAATGTATTCCGTATAAAAATCAGAAGAAATAGAATGAGCTTATTGAAAGTAATTAAATAACAATGAAAATAAACTTTGTTATTATATAAATATTCTTCAAATTGGAAGCATTTAAATTATGAGCACATATGTTTAAAGATTTACTGTTAATTAAACTATTTCGATTTCTCTTCGGTCTAAAACTTAATCACATTTGTTTATTCTCGTTTTTTTTATTCTGACTAAAACAAGCAAAAGAACATAACCTGTGGGTGGGTGTGGGTGTAGGTGTTTGTGTAGGTGGAGAGGGGAGGGGTGGTGTGGGTGTGAGAGTTGATCTTTTTATCATTCAAACCCATACCCACACCGTACCCGCACCCACATCCATACCCGATTATACAGCTATTTGACAATAAAGTTGTTTTAGCGATAAGAAAAACCACAAAATAAAGTGAGATATAATATTTACAATATCAAAAATTAGAAATCAATGAACCTTTTCTAATGCGAGGCTAGAAACTTATCAAATCGGAGATCGGACAAACAAATGGATAAAAGCTTTTAAAAGGATGGAATTGTGTTGAAAAATTGACTCTCTTCAATTCTATTATTTTAAAAGTCGAAATACTTGTTAAAACTAATGTTCGTATTGAGAAAATTTCACTGAACTTATTAGATTCATTTCTGAGTCACATGAATAGAAAAAAATTTAGAAGACATTTTTGTTTGTTAATTCCAATAAAAACGCTTATAACCTTTTTTTTTGAAGACACATGGTAAATAAACCAAGGTATACCTAAATGAATCATTTTTGTTCTATTCAACCAGATGAGAAACAGTTGAAATGAAAGAATTCCGATAAATCAGTATTAGAATTCACAGATGTAAGTTTTTCGTGAAGACAAATATACAGTGCGGTGCATAATTATAAGACCACTTGTTTTCAAAGTGCACTAAATAAAATGAGCGATATTTTTAGTGATTTCACATAGATGATTCATAAGAATAGCGCTATAAAATTTTC